AATCAGAGCCATATCTCTTATATCTGCTGTGGGGACACGGTGACCTCCGATCTGAGGTCATGTTTCCTCTTCAGCTCAGGGGAGAGAACGTTTGCAGGAAGTCAATGGGCTCAACTAGAGCTGACAGGAGGGCCAGTTTTTTCTAAAATTATGAATTATACAGAGATTTTAAAAAATAAACCCTTACCAAATTCTGGCTTCGGAAAGTATGAGGACTCTGTGAAGGTAACCAACTTAAGTGTATTATAGAATGAGACAAAAATGTGGTGTCCATCATTCTACCAGGAATTTTAAAATTTAAAAGCCTTAGCATCACAAAAGACTTCTGGTCCAGGTGAGTAAAACCTTATAAAAAACATGAAAAGGAAATATACATTTAGAATTTTAGTTAGTAATATTAAGGAGCGGGAAATGAAATATATTCTCTTTCCTAATGGTGTTACTATAAATTTTCAGGTGCATTTTCTTATCTCACTGATGTTTCTCCTTCTTTTTAGGTCATGGAAAAAAAGAAAAGAAAACTCTCTCAAGGGCTAACAATCAGAGCTGCCTGGTTGAGAAGAAGGGTTGGGTTGTAAGAAGACCCTGAAGCAAGGATTCTAAATCAAAGATTCTGCAGGCCATCTGAGTTTGCATGTCAGATCTTCCTGCCTACAGCAGTAGCTTATGTGCTACGCTAGATTGACATAGCAACACTATGAAGAAATATTCTCTTACAACTTCTAATGGCATTAGGCTTGGGGATTGTATAATGCAATTGCCAATAGAAACTTGGTCTATTTAGTTGCAATCATAATCCTACAAAGAAACCTAAAAATTAAATTTGTCTACAAATTTGACTTAAGTACTCATTCCATACCTAGCAGTGAACAAAATATTTTAAAATAAAACAAGAGAATACTAAGCCCCCTGTCACAGGCTGATTATTTCCCATTTCATGTAAGAACTATAATAGGAAGCCCCAAATAGATATACAATTTATACTGCACATAGCATTTGAAGTGCTTAGATGATTTTAACAAAACATACCATCGTGGGGAGGAATTGTCGAGAAACAAAAGTTAAATGACCACAGCCCTCCTGTCTTCAAAGAAGAGAGTGTGCCTGGCTTAACTTGTGGATAATAAGTCCTTTGGAATCTTCATTTCTGACAAACTGCAGCTGCAGTACATGAGGTGGCTCCTCTCTTTTATAAAATGTACTTCTGTGTTCAGAGTCAGTAGCTGGGGGAAATCAGATATCTCCTTCAGCCAAAGGAAAGTTCAGTGACAGAAGAGAAAGCCGATGGAATTTGTGAGCACCCTTTCCTCTAAGTGCTTAGGCAACGTAAGTACATTTCTGCAACAAAGGAGAAAATTAAAGGAAGCCATTCTCCTCAAGAATCCCTCTCTGAACTTCACATGTAGTGTGAAAAAGCATTGCATCACTGGCATAATTTACTTTGAATTTCCTACCTCTCAGGGGTGGGTAAGCTGTTTGGATAGGTTTTGTTTTAGGGTAGGGTGCTAATTTCAGTAGAAGCACCCCGAACTGGACTTTTGTTTGTGTAACCAAATATTATATGGATGAAAACTTTCCCAATCTCCATCTTTTCTTTATGAACATCTTTGCAACCCCAATACAATTTGTGAAAAACTCATGTATTTACCAATTTAACTAGACAACTGAAGTTCTAGTTTGTGTCTAACGTCTCACTCAGCATTTTCACTTATGTCAACGGACTTTTTGCTGATACATTGATGTGGTTGTTTAATTAGTGGTACAATTTGAGATCTCAAATTATTTGCCAAAGTTACTGAGTTGTCTCCTTAAAGCTGATGGGCACTATTTGTACCATCCTGTTACAGGAGGTTTTGTAAACTCGTGTTATCAACGATTATTTTTAGTTAAGAGAAGCCCCAGGAAAGATTTTTAAAATACAGATATAAAGATATTCCAGTTCTTGATCTCATCTTTTTCTCCTCTCAAACTTCGGAGAGTCTGCTGGAAGAACACACGGAGAAGCAGGGAGGCTTCTTACAGATCTTTGAGGCCTCCTTCCACTCAAATCCCAGGGGACTAGAGCGCAATACCTCTGTGGTTCAAAAAGTCTTTGGACCAGAAGGGGGGCCTTTATCTGCCAACATTTCAAACATATTCAATCAAATATTGATCTAGAAAATCAGCTACTTTCCCCTCTAGCAAAGAAATTAAATCAGCACTACCTACTGAAGGCCTGCATAAGGTCCTCGGGAAGATAATGATGGTGCTGTAGGTCATTGCTAGGATCAAAAGTTTACATGGACACCAAACGGATTGAACATTTTCTGTAATGCGTGGGGACAAAAGGGCGAAAGATCTGCTTGCCAGTCAGAACGTGCTGGAGATGACCTCATGTGGCGAGTCCTCGCATCAAGAAGCCAGGTGATGGTTTTCAAATCCATCTCATCTCTGAAGATAAAAGGAACGGAAGGTGGCCTGTCTCACCTCACAGAAAGGTTTTTCATCACCAGGATATCTGATGCCTCTTGTTCAGGTTGACAGTAAAGCATGTCCCTCTGACTCATAAGCATTCCCTCTCTCTACTGTGTCCTGTCTTCCAGAACTGAATGAGGTTATGTGATTAAAGAACAAAAGGTTTGCCTACCTACTCTATCACAAATATTGGGATATCAAAACATGATTAAAAAAAAGCTCGCCTAATTCTAGAATCCTTTGGAATGGAAAGCTTCCTTTAGAGAACAGTGTGTTCCAGTTGGCACGGGTTATAAAAAGTGATCTCTAATGTTCCCATACTACAAAAGAGTGGTGTCCCAATTTTCGTAAGAAAATATAGGTGGAGGGGCAATCGGTTTCTTCCAATAATGCCTGTTTTTTATGCCACTGTTGGATTCTAGCTATATGTATATCTATACACACATGTGTATATGTTTGAAATTGAGTGGGCTTTGAGTTTACTTCTGAATTTAAAAAGAAAAACAAGAATTGACTTTATTCCTCATACATTGTATGGCCTCAAATAAAAAACTTCTATGGGCAAATCCAACTAGGAAAAGGTAACATCCCTTTCTCCTCCGGACTTTGTTCTTGGGCAGCAGATCATCAGTATTTTGAACCTACACCTTAACAGGCAGTTTGTATGTACCTTGACCTGTGAGCAGTCCCTTCACTTCGTAAAACATAATGCTTTTAAGGCAATGGGATTAATAACTGTCCAACACAATGACCAGGTTCTCAGGTAAGATAGGTCATATCCGGCTTTGTCTTTGGTGGTTTTTGAAGCTGACTTCTTTTTAAGAAGACGTTTTCCAGCATTCTAGGGTCACTGGGTTTATGTTAACAAGAGTTCATTCTTCCTGCTCTATTTTCTTTTTGGGATATTGATCAATAACCCAAATCCAACAGCACATTATATTAACTTCTCCCAATGTGCTTCGGTTTATGGCTGACAATATAATCCAACTGTCTGAATTGATTGTGGCTTTTAGTAGCATGGAAATTGAGTCAAAGAATGATAGACATAAACAGTGCCCTGAGCAACCGTTGCTTGCCAGCACCACATCCATGTGATGAGACTCTGTTGTTGCTACGTGCCTGCGATTCCATTCGGACTCAGCAAGCCTGCGTACCACAGCATGAAACATGCCCACCCCTAGGCCGTCACCACAAGTGTCGTTATGCTTGAGCCCACTGCTTCTGCCACCGGGTCCTTTCATCTTGTTGAGGGTCTTCCTCTTCTTCACTGACCCCCTACTTTACCCAGCATGATGTCCTTTTCTTGGTAGGGATCTTTCCTGACAGTAAGCCCTGAGTCCTTGAGACAAAATGTTACCACCCCCTCTTCTAAGCTGCTTTCTGGGTAGACTTCTCCAAAACAGATGCGTTTCTTCTTCAGGTAGACCATGGTGCTTTCAACATTTGTCCCCAACACCACAGTTCAACTGTTTCAATTTTTCTATGGTTTTCATATGCATTGTCTTGCTTCCACATACATATGAGGTGATGGGAAAATGCCATGACTTAGTTCAGGTTCCCCTTAGTCCTTAGAGCAACATCTTTGCTCGTTAGCAACGCACGGAAGTCTTGGGTGGCAGATCACTAGGAGTGTGATCAGTCATCTGGTTTCCCGCTACTTTCCAAGCATTCATTGGAGATTCAAGTAAAATGTCATCCTTGGCAACTTCACTCTTTGCCCTGTTTATCATGATGTTATCCGCTGGTTCCATTGTAAGCATTTTTTGCTTTGTTTACACCGAGTTATAGCCCATCCTGCAGGCCGCAGTCTTTGATCGTGACCAGTGTTTGCTGTGCTCCTCTCCTGCAGGAAGCCAGGCTGTGCCATCAGCACACTCCAAGTTCTGGTCTTCCTTGCATCCTAGTGTCCTGTTCTTCTTCATACACTTCCGTTTCTCAGACTACTCACTTAGCATAGAAACTGAAGTGTTTCAGTGAAAAAATAGAACCCTGGCACACATCTTTCTTCATTTTAAAGCATGTAGTATCCCCTTGCTATGTTCAAACAACTGCCTTGTGGCCTGTGCACGGGTTCCCCAATTATGGGTAAGCCGTCCGGAATTCCCTTTCTTTTCAATGTTATCAAAGTTTGGTATGATCCTCACAGTTGAATGCTTACTCAATGACACACACTCTACAGCTTTCTGGCATTCTCTGCTTTCAGCCAATATCCATCTGGCATCAGCAATGATACCCTTCATCCCAAGTCCTCTTCGAAATCCAGCTTGAATTTCTGGAAGCTCCCTGGTGATGCATTGCTGCAACTTTTGTTGACTGATCTTAAGCAAAATTTTGCTTGCGTGTGATATTAATGATGATCAATAACTTCTTCATTCTGTTGAGTCACCTTTCTTGGGAAAAGGCATACATGTGGATCTCTTCCAGTTGGTTGTCCAGGTAGCAGTCTTTGAAATTTCTTAGCACAGGCTAGAGAGTACTTCCAGTGCTGCATTACTTTGTTGAAGCATTCCATTTGTCGTCTGCCAATTCATGCAGTCCCTTTTAAGAAACACATATAACCACAGGCTGTACCCTTGCATTGACTATGTAGAAAAAGGGGCAAAGTAAGTGCCCAGTATCCACCTCAACCCAAGCTCTGTGCCTGGTTTGTATTGTGAATGGGGCAACATGGCAAAAAAACAAACATATTTTCAGTGCAGCTTGGATGTCTTCCTTCAAAATCATTGGGTTTTGAGCATATGTTTCCTCTTGCAACGGGTTGAAAATCAACCAAGTATTTTTGGTAGAATGATTCTGTGTATTTCTTCCATCTTTTTTTGATGCTTCCTGCATCGTTCCATGTTTATGCCAGACTCCTTCAATGTTACAGCTCAAGAAGTGAATATTTCTTCAGTTCTTTCAGCTTCAGAGATGCTGGGTGTGCTCATCTCTTCTCATTTTCTAAATGCTTTACTTTGTCTTCTTGAGCTGCCTTTTAAAATCTCCCATTGCTCCACATTCAAGAGCATGTGTCTTCTGACACCCACCTTGGTCTGTCTTTCTTCCTGTCTTTTTAGTGACATTATACTTTCTTGGGATTTGATGTTCTTGGTGTCATCCCACAACTCATCTGGTCTTCAGTTGTTAATATTCAGTGGATCAGATCTGTACTTGAGATAGTCTCTGTCTTCAAGTGGGATATACTCAAGGTCATATTGTAGTTTTCATGGGCTTGTTTCAATTTAGCTTTAACTTCACCCTGTACTTGTTTTGGGTGATGGTTCTTGAGCTTCTCTGTTATGTAGTTAATTTGATCCCCTTTTGTGAGGTCCATGTGTATAATCACCATTGATTGTGTTGAAAAGTTAGTCACAATGAATATATGGTTGGCTTTGTGAAATTCTGTCACACAATCTTTGGCATCGTTGCTATCATCAAGGTCATATTCCAAGTACCGATCCTTCTTCTTTGTTTCTAACTTTAGAATTCCAATCGCCAGTAATTATCACGGTATCTTAACTGCATGTTCTATCAATTCCAGACAAAAGAAATGGGTAGAATTCTTAAGTTTTTGTCTTCACTGGCGTTAGTTCTTGATGTGCATATTTGATTAATAGCTGTGTTAACTCATCTTTCTTGTAGTTATATAGGTCTTATCCTATCACAGACAGCATTGCACCTCAAGAGATATGATACAATGTTCTTTCTGAGGATGAATGCAACACCATTTCTCTTGAATTTGTCATTCCCAGTAGGGTAAACCATGTGATTGACTGATTCAAAATGGCCCGTACCAGTTGATTTCAACTGACTGTTTGCAATATTGATATTTATGTGTTCTATTTTATTTTGGATGTGTTTCCATTTACCTCTTCATACTTTGTGCATTCTGCATTCTGGTTACTAACAGATGTTTTCAGATTCCACTCCCCTCCTCCCACTGCTAATTTTGACTCATCTGAAAATGAAGAAGAGAGTTTTGCTCCATCAACACCTGTAAGATCTACAATCTACTCTGTTTTGAAAAGGCAGCTTTTGCCCATGATGTTTGGGGTGACTTTCAACCTTTTCGGGAACTCTCTCAGAGAAGGTTTCGCTGCTCTTGGTGAGGTTGTCAGGGGCTCATCTCTCAGGAGTGGACAGCACATGTTTCTCCTAGCCTGGAAGCTCCCTTGAAATCAGTTCACCTTCTGGTATCTGAAATACCGTTAGCCTAGCTGCCAACATCACAGCAGCACACAAACCACACGCTTCCAGATGAGTGAGTGGTAGTGATGGAAGTATAATGATGACTTAAAACACAAAGAGCGAGTCCTGCTCTCATATAGCCACATAATAGCACAACATTTCCTCTGTGAGTAGGGCTTTGAAGAAGAAGCCTAGTCATTTGTTAAGTACCTGGTTTATCTACTGCATCTCACACATTTATTATCTACTGCATCTCATACATCAGTGCAGGAGCTTATATGAAGGTTGGAAAAATTAAATGCAAACTTGAGAACTATGGCTAACTCGATAAACAGGATCCATGTAGGGAAAAGAAATACAATTTTAGTTTACAAGAAGCTTAGTACAAGACCTTGATGTGATATGACTTTCAAAATAGCTCAAGCATTTTTAGAACCATTATCAGAAGCCAAGAATGTAGATATGTAAGAAGGAAATGGCATCCTTACATTTGCCACACATCTCAGACATTTGGATCCATTTCTGAGAAGTATAACTGCAGAGGAAAGCTGAAAATCCGGTTGACTCCGGAGGAACCAGATTTCATAGCGGGAGGTCCAGAGCACATCTATGAGACATTTTAACAAACTGCTATGCCTGGCACAGGGAAGACAAGAGAGACATGACAGTGGCCCTACCTAATTCATATGCTTCCAGGAAAGGTGAATTAGAGAGTGTTGTATAGTCATACATGACAGATGTTGAACCAGCCAAAGGGGGGTTGTTTACAAATTTCGATTTAACATTAATGATGAACTTTTGAACAAGAAAAGCTACTGGAAAATGCCATGAACCCCTTGCCTGGAGTGAGGAACATTCAAACAGCAAGAAGCTGGGATGAATCAGTCTTCAGGAATGTTAAGAGCAGTTTTCGTTCATTTAAGGATGAATTAGACCAGACATTTCCTAGGGCTTTTTTCAAGTCTGAATTTTTATGATGTTATGTTAGAGTTGCTTCTAGCAACATCCATGTTCCAGAATGTTCAAGTTAACCTTCTTTTACTACATCCATACAAAACAAAAGACCTATTGCTGTGGGAGAATAAAGATGAATCCACCATAATCTTTCATTTCAGGAGCCGGATAGGCAAACCTGGTACCCAAGTCCTATGTAAAGTAGTAAGGAGCAGATGTCACCTTGAAGATTCAGGTTCACCTGATCCAACTCATGGTATCCCCCCCTCCCCCACTTTCTCCTTCTTCTTTAATCATTTTATTGGGAGCTTTTACAGCTCTTATAACAATCCACACATCCATCCATTGTGTCAAGCATATTTGTACATATGCTGCCATCATCATTTTCAAAACATTTTGTTTCGACTTGAGCCCTTGATATCAGCTCATTTCCCCTCCCCCTCCCTCTCCCTCATGAACCCTAATTTATAAATTATTAATTTTTCATGTCTTACGCCAACCACTGTCTCCCTTCACCCACTTTTCTGTTGTCTGTCCCCCTGGGAGGGGGTTATATGCTGATAAATGTGATCAGTTCCCCATTTCTACCCCCACCTTTCCCTTCCCTTCATAGTATCGCTACTCTCATTATTAGTCCTGAAGGGGTTATCTGTCCTGGATGCCCTGTGTTATGAACATGCTCTGGTCTAGCTGGACTTGTAAGGTAGAATTGGGGTCATGATAGTCAGGGGGGTGTGGGGAGGAAGCATTAAAGAACTAGAGGAAAGTTGTATGTTTTCTTGGTACTATACTACACCCTGGTATTTTTAATTACATCAAATGCACATTCGAGCTAGATGATGAATAAAGAAGACTAGAGAAGAATCAATGCATCTGGATTATGGTATTGTCAAAGACAATCGATGGTACCATGGACTGTGAGAAGAACAAAGAAATCTGTCAGAGAGGAAGTACAATCAGAGGGCTCCTTAGAAGCCAGGATGGCGAAACTCTGTCTTGTGTCCCTTGGCTATGCTACTGGGAAAGACCAGTCCCCAGAAAAGATCCTCAGTGGGATGAATGCACACAGTAGTTACAACAATGGGCTCAAGCACAGGAAGGGTTATGAGGACCATGCAAGACTGGACAATCACTTGTCCTGTTGCATTGAGGTCACTGTGAGTCATAAGTCAGTAACACTAGGCACTGTGTTAGAGTGCCATGTATATGCTACAAGATTTATCTACCCCTGCTGGGCATATTATGTTTTATAAATATGGAAACAAAATTAACTTTATATCCTAGCTCTTACCACTGTATAACTTTTCCACCCAAAGTATTTTATTTTTGTTAAATATTTCTACAGGGAAATGTACAAATTCCTTTCTCTACAGTAGCTTTATTGAAATATAGTTCACACATCATACAATTTACCCTTTAAAATGTATAACTCAATTATACATTTTAGTATATTCATAAATATGTTCAATCATCAGCAGAGTTAATTTTAGAACCTTCATCACCTCAAAAAAGAAAACCTATATGTACTCTTAACTGTCACCCCCATTCTCCTACTCGTCTCCACGATCCTAAATAACTATAAATCTATATCCTAACTCCCGAGATTTGACTATTGCTTACAGTTCATATAAATGGAATCATACAACATGTGTTCTTTTTCAACTAGCTTCTTTGATTCAACACAATGTTTTTCAAGGTTCATGTACGGCAGTGGTTCTCAACCTTCCTAATGCTGTGACCCTTTAATACAGTTCCTAATGTTGTGGTGATCCCCCCTCCCCAATCATAAAATTATTTTCGTTGCTACTTCATGACTAATTTTTTCACTGTTATGAATCTGGTGACCCCTGTGAAAGGGTCGTTCGACCACCAACGGGGTTGCAACCTACAGATTGAGAACTGCTGATCTAAGGCATAGTGATATCAGTACTCCATTCCTATTGTGGCGGAAGCATAGTCTGTTGTATGGCTACACTATCTTTTGTTTATTTATTCTTTCAATAATGGGCATTTGGTTGTTTTCACCTGTTGGCTATTATGTATAATACTTTCATGAACTTTTGAATGCAAGTTTTGAATAGCCATTGTTTCATGGCCATGTTAGTCTGGGTAGAATAGAGAAACAAATACACAGAAACTCATATGTATATAAGAGAGAGTTTTATATAAAGGGCAAGTGTACATTCCAAAAGCATCCCAACCCAGTGCTGTCCAAGCCCTTAAGGTCAACATTAGCCCAAATGTCCAACAGCGATCTACAAAGTCCTCCTTGATCTAACAAAACACACACAATGACACCGACTACAGGAGGAAAGCCGAATCAGTGAGCATGTAAACATCTCAGCACTGGCAGGGGTCTCCACATGGCTCCAGCACCCAGGGCTGCATCAGGGTAGGCCCATTTGGCTTCTCCTCAGGGATGTCTTGCAGGAAGTGAGCCTTGTAAGCTAAGCAGGAAACTGGCTAAGGGAGCTGTACCCTGGTCCATCCAACCATCAGAGAGCAAGAGACCGGAGAACCAGTAAGCAGAGGCTCACCAAGCCATTTGCCCTTCCATTAATCCCACGTGTTTATCTGCCAGGTTAGCACAATAAACCTTAACTATCTCAGTGGGTATGGTCTTGTGAGTGGAATTGCTGAGGCATATGGTAATTCTAAGTTTAACTCTTTGAGGAACTTCCAGGCTGTTTTTCAAAGATGCTACATCCTTTCACATTCCCATAAGCTGTATATTCAGATTCTCACATTTCTATATCCTCAAAACAATTATGATTGTCTTTTTTTATTCTAACCATCCTACTGGCTGTGACAATGATGTCCACTTTGCTGATGACTAGTGATGTCGAGCATCTTTTCATATCTTTATTGGTTATCATCTTTTGAGAAAGATCTATTAAAACTCTTTACCCACTTTGAATTGGGTTACTTGCCTTTTTATTTTTGACTTGTAAGAATCATTTTTTATATTCCAAAGGCAAATCTTTAAGTGATATTATTTGCAAATATTTTTCTTCCTCTATGGACTGACTTTTCACTCTCTTGGTAATATCCTTTGATGTTCAAATGTTTTAAATTTCAACACTATCTGATTCATAATGTTTTTCTTTTGGGTATTTTGGGTACCATATCTAAGAATCCATTGCCAAACCTAAGATCATGAATATTTTTTTCCCACAAGTTTTATAATTTTAGTTTTTGCATTTAGGTTTGGGATCCACCTGGGGCTAGCTTTTGAAGATAGTTTGAAGTGATGATCTGAGTCCCTTCATTTGTATCTTGTCCCAGCACAATTTTCTGAAAGAACTGTTTTTCCCCACTGGATGGTTTTGACCTTCATGTAAAAAAGAAGCAAATTAAAGACGTAAGTGCATACTCAGTTCTAAACTTGATGTATATCATGTGCCAATCCCACACTGAGCTGATTACTGTTGTTTTTTAGTTGTGTTTAAGATGGGAGTCCTCCACTTTTAAAAAATTATTATTATTTCAAGCTTTTATTAGCTATTGTGAGTTCCTTATAATCCCATATAAAGTTTAAAATCTGCTTACCAATTTGTGTGAAGAAGCCCTTTGAAGCCTCTGGGATTCTGAAAGGGTTTGCATTGAATCTGTAGATAAGCTTAGGGACCACTGCTATCTTAGCCATAGTAAGCCTTCCAATTACTAAATAAGCCAGCTTCTCTGATTATTTGCTCAGCATACAGATTTAATAAGTATAGTGAGAGGGTACAACCTTGTCACAAACCTTTTCTGACTTTAAACCATGCAGTGTCTCTTATACTGTTCGAACAACTGCCTCTTATTCCATGTACAATTCCACATGAGCACACTGAAGTGTTCTAGAATTCCCATTCTTCTCAAGGAATGTGGCCATCAGGATTGGAGGAAGGCTTATTAACAACCTGCAACACTCAGATGTCACAATCTTGCTTACTGAAAGTGAGGAGGCCTTGAACCACTTGCTGATGAAGACTGGGATTGCAGCCTTCTGTATAGATTACAACTCAATGTAAAGAAGAGCAAAATCCTCACAACTGGACCAATAGGTAACACCATGATGAATGAAGAAAGGGCAGAAATTGTCTAGGATTTTGTCTTTCTTGGATCCACAATCCATGCTCATGGAAGCAGCAGTCAAGATATCAAAAGAGGAGTTACATTAGGTAAGTTGGCTGCTCAAAACCTCTTGAGAGTGTGGAAAAGCAAGGATATTTCTTTGAGGACTAAAGTGTGCCTCACCCAAGCCATGTCTTTTCAATTGTCTCCTATGCATGTGAAAGTTGGACATTGAATAACGAAGACCAAAGAAGAATCAATGCATTTGAATTGTGGTGCTGGAGAAGAAAATTGAAAGTGCAAAGACTGTTAAAAGGACAAACCGATCTCTCTTGGAAGAAATACAGCCAAAGTGCTGCTTAGAGGCAAGGATGGCGAGACTTTGTCCTACATACTGTGAGCGTGTTGTCAGGAGAGACAGTCCCTGGAGAAGGACACTATGCTTGGTAAATTAGAGGGACAGGGCAGGAGCGGAGGCCCTCAATGAGATGGATGGACACCATGACTGCAACAATGGGCTCAGGCACTGGAACAATCAGGCACTGGGGACATCACAGGATGGAGCAGTGCTTTCTTCTGTCGTGCAGAGGGTCACTGTGTGTCAAAACAGACTCGATGGCACTTAACAACAACAACAATTCATAACTCGGAGGATTGTTGTTGCCACTGGCCAGTGAGTTGGTTCTGACTCATGTTGAGTCCGTGTAGGAATATGCCATCGGGTTCCAGATCCCCAGCCTGTCTTCTGAAGGACCCCTGAAGAGATGTGTCTTGATGAACCATCTGTGCTACCCGGGGACTCTCCATTTAGTTCGATCCTTAATTTTTTTTTCCAACGGTGCTTTCTCATTTCACGGTCTAAGTTTTGCACTACTTTTGTCAAAATTTTCCTAACTATTTTAAACTCTTAGATGCTGTCTTAAGTGGAGTTATTATTTTAATTTAAAATTTTGATTTCTCATTAAAAATGTATAGAAATATAATGGACTCTTTTATATTGAGTGTACCTTCAATTTTTCTGAACTTATTTATTGGTTTTAAAGTGTTTTAGTGGATTCCTTAGCATTTTCTCCATATGCAATATATTATCTGAGCAAAGAGATCATTATACTTCTTTCTTTGCCATGCAGGTGCCTCCACTGTGGCTTGTCATTATTATTATGATTACTGTTAAGCCTGTAACCTAGAGAAAGAGGAGGGGAAGAAGGGAAACAAGGGGCATACTCTGACAAAGCATGCATATTTAGCTTGTGATTAACTCACGTTACAAAAAGAAAACTAATACCCTGGAGAATAGTTACATAACCTTTTGTACCCAGTGTTTTACAGTTATTAATTTATTTAATCATCACCACAACCTTATGAGGTTGTTGTCTTTCATTGGACACTTTACAGATGAAAGTGCTGAGATACAGAAAGGTAAGTGGTCTCAAGACCATCAATGGCAGAGCTTGAATGACGGAGTTAATAGCAGTCAACATGCACAACTTTCAACGAATTCAAATAATTCATATTTCAATTAACACTCAAAATAAATTAAGTAGGTGACATGGTACCATTTTACAAATGACCAAATTGATGCACATAGATATTGAATGACTTGGCAAAACCAGAATTGGAATTTGTAACTTTTGACTGCAGGCTTTATTTATTGCACACAGCTACACTTGCGAAACCTTTTCTAGATATTGGAAATAGAAGATATTCTGGAACCATGGAGTAGGTTGTACACAGGTTAGAGAATACTGCTGGCTACTTCAATTTGGCTTCTATAAATGCAGAAACCAGCAAGTTATCGGGCTTATTTAACAGGCAGAAAGGGGAAGGAGCGCTTGATCGGGAGTGTATGAAGCAGTCCGTGGAAGTGCAGGAAGAACTCCACGAGCTAGCTTCGGAAAGTCAGTTTCTAGAGAAGGTCAGGATATTGGTTTTCAGGAATCACTGGACAACGTTTCCACGGCTCTGTGATCAAGGGGAGCCTGCACCAGTCCTCTTCCAGCTGGTGACACAACAGTCAAGGAGAGGCTAACTCCAAGCAGAGCCTGATTTTGGTTGACCTACCTTGGTTTTAGACCCACTTTTTGGCTTGCACATCCAGAGC